GCTAGGTAGGTTTAGTTTGGACATTAGGAAAAACTTCAGGGTGGTTAAGCACTGGAATAAATTGCTTGGGGAGGTTGTGGAATCTTCATCATTGAAGATTTTTAAGAGCAGGTTAGACAAACACCTGTCAGGAATGGTCTAGAGAATACGTAGTCCTGCCATGAGTGCAGGGGATTGGACTAGATGACATCTCGAGGTCCCTTCCAGTCCTGTGATTCTATGCATTTCCCCCTAATGGACAGCTGAACCACTTTTGCTGAAACTTTCATAAATAAATAAATTACATCTGAGGTAGATGCCCAGCATGGAAAATTTCAGCCCAAATGGTTTAAGTTTGGCATTATCCTTGCTCTCTATAACAATAACATGAATGGCTTTGTAAGATATGTTACATCACCTTAACATATGTAGGTATTTTTATAGCAGTTGTGCTTAGTGATCACTATAGTTAAGGTTGAAAAAGGAGTTTCCTTCTGAACCCCTCTTTTCATGTTTGGTCTCAGCCCAAAAATGAAGAGTTTTCTTCAGCAAATTTGAGCCAGTTGTTTTCAGCCATCTTTGAATTACCGTATATACTTGTTCATAAGCCGAATACTTTTGGTAAAAAAGTGACGCATGAAAGAGCGGGGGTCGGCTTATAAACGGGTCTACACCAAAATTTGATGATTTTAAACTCTATGGAATCATTGAATTGAATATCTAATACAGGAATTGGCAACCTTTGTCCCACGGCCCACCAGGGTAAGCACCCTGGCAGGCCGGGCCAGTTTGTTTGCCTGCTGCATCCGCAGGTTCAGCCGATTGTAGCTCCCACTGACCGCGGTTCGCCGCTCCAGGCCAATGGGGGCGTCAGGAAGCGGCGGCCAGCACATCTCTCGGCCCGCGCCGATTCCCGCCACCCCCATTGGCCTGGAGCGGCGAACCGTGGCCAGTGGGAGCCGCGATCGGCCGAACTTATGGACGCGGCAGGGTGCTTACCTGGCATGCCGCGCCACTTCCCACAGTTCCCATTGGCTGGGAACGGTGAACCGTGGCCACAGGGAGATGAGGTGCTTCATGCCTGCAGACACTCCAAGTAAACAAAACGTGCCGACCCGCCAGCGGCTTACCTTGACGGGCTGGGAGCCAAAGTTGTCCAACCCCTGAAATATAGGGGCGGCTTATGAAAGGGTCATACAGTTTTTGCTATTTTTACCTATCCATTTTTGGGGGGGTCGGCTTATAAACGAACGGGCTAATGAATGAGTATATATGGTATATCAAATTGGGAAAAATACACTACTTCCTACTTTTAAAAACTAGTTTCTTTCACTGTGATAACTCAAACCCAGCTGAGCTGTGAAGGGTCTGTCATGGGCTTCTCATGGATACACATCACTGTGCAATTTCCATCAGCATTACGTAAATTCATTAAGGCCACATACAAAGATGTGAAGTAGTCTGTAAGGATGAACAACCGAGCAACAGAGTGGTTCAGTGTGGACAGTGGCGTGAAACAGGGCTGCATTTTATCTGCGCTCTTGTTTGGCATCACCATATACTGGATAATGAAGAAGTGTATTAGCAACACAAATACCGGTATACCATGGATAGGTGGCAAATGCCTAGAAGAACTAGACTTTAATGATAATGTGCTACTGAACAACATCCCCTGAAAAGTTACAAACAGAGACAGACGACTTGGCAAAAAAAGCAGACCAAGCAGGGCTCAAAATTAGTTATGCTAAAACAAACATCCTTGAAACCCAGACAGCAATCATTAACATCACATTAAAAGGCAGAAATATCAAGAAAGTAGAACAGTTCATCTACCTGGGAATCACCATGTTAGCCAATGGAGACCTCAAGAAGGAAATGACATCAAAGGTAGGAAAGGCATCCACAGCATTTATTAAACTCAACAACGTATGGAAATCAAAGATATACATCACCAGAACAAAACTCTGAATTTTCAATTCAGACATAATTTTGGTGCTAAAATACGGCTGCGAGAGCTGGAGGTCTATTAAGACATTAGACAGAAAATTAGACACCTTCAAAAATAAGTGCCTATGAAAGATTCTGGACATTGATCGGAAAGACTTCTTCACCAGTTAAAAGATCCGAGAATCACCAGCCAGCAGCTTGTTTCCACCAGAATCAGAAGGAAACGCTGGATATATTTGGGGCATGTAGAATCATAGAATTGTAGGACAGGTGTTTGTCTAACCTGCTCTTAAAAATCTCCAATGGTGGAGATTTCGCAACCTCCCTAGGCAATTTATTCCAGTGCTTAACCCCCTTGACAGTTAGGAAGATTTTCCTAATGTCCAGCCTAAACTGCCCTTGCTGCAATTTAAGCCCATCACTTCTTGTCCTATTCTCAGAGGTTAAAGAGAACAATTTTTCTCCGTCCTTCTTGTAACAACCTTTTATGTTCTTGAAAACTGCTATCATGTCCCCTTTCAGTCTTCTCTTCTCCAGACTAAACAAACTCAATTGTTTCAGTCTTCCCTCATAGGTCATGTTTTTAGACCTTTAATCGTTTTTATTGCTCTTCTCTGGACTTTCTCCAATTTGTCCACATCTTTCCTGAAATGTGGCGCTCAGAACTGGACACAATACTTCTGTTGACAACTAATCAGCATGGAGTAGAGTGGAAGAATTGCTTCTAATTTCTTGCTTATAACACTCCTGCTAATACATCCCAGAATGATGGGTTCATTTTTGCTTTTTTTTTTTTTTTTTTGCAACCGTGTTTCACTGTTCACTCATATTTAGCTTGTGATTCACGATGACCCCCAGATCTCTTTCTGCAGTACTCCAACACACAGACTCCCACATGAAGCTGTCAAGTGGAAACCAACTGGTGTGAGGAAATGAGGGTGCCTAAAAGAAACCTTAAGAAGAACCCTTAGCAGGGACGGCTGAATAGTTTATCTCAACACCACAGAACAAATGGAAGCAGCAGCAAATGACAGAGGAATGGAAGAAGCTGGCTTCTGCCCTATACACCAACATTGGCACAGGAAGGATTTTTTTTTTTTAAAGGTAAAGGAAATGTCTAGAAGCTGGTAGCTGCCCTTGAGCCAGACAAATGAGACTGTTTTGCTTTCCTCTGTCCTCTTCTACTTAAAAGTAAAAGAAGGAACTTGGAAATTAAATACAAACAAACAAAAGTAATCCTACTTGTAAGATTTCCCAGTTAAAATGGGGAAGAGGCTGTCAGAAAATGAAGAGTCTCTTTAGCAGTTCTATCTCAGCCCCTTGGCCCTTATGCAAATCCGTGCTGTTACTTATCACCTTATTATCTTCTAGATATTTGCAAATTGATTGCTTAATTATTTGCTCCATTATCTTTCCGAGTACTGAAGTTAAGCTGACTGATCTGTAATTTCCTGGGTTGTCCTTATTCCCTTCTTTTATAGATGGGCACTATACTTGCCCTTTTCCAGTCTCCTGGAATCTCTTCTGTCTTCCATGAGTTTTCAAAAATAATTGCTAGTGGCTTAAATAGCTCCTCAGTCAATTCCTTGAGTATTCTAGGATGTATTTCATCAGACCTTGGTGACTTGAATACATCTAACTTGTCTTAAGTCATTTTTAACTTGTTCTTTCCCTATTTTAGCCTCTGATCCTACCTCATTTTCACTGGTATTCTTTGTGTTAGATATCCAGTTGCTACTAACCTTTTTGGTGAAAACTGAAACAAAAAAGTCATGTAGCACTTCTGCCATTTCCAATTGTTTTGTTATTGCTGATGTTGGAGTTAGTTCAGAAAGCAGCTGAAATCAGGAGCTTAGGAGGCTGCAGAACCCTGCTCCTGACTAGGCTGCCTTGTTGAGATGCTGTTCGTGCTGATTCCGTTCCCACCTGAGTGCAGTAGGCAGAACCTTAAAGGGACATGTGCATTGAGAAGTCACACTGCTGTATGTGTGCCACTATTGTTCAATTCCAGTGATCTTAAGGACGGGTTTCAGAGTAGCAGCCCTGTTAGTCTGTATCTCGATGATCACTTCAAAGGTTTTTTTCTCTCTCCTGCTGATGGCCTCTTACAGTTTGATTGATTGGCCTCTTACAGTTGGTCTGGCTACTCCCACCGTTTCATGTTCTCTGTATGTAGAAATATCTTCTGTCTGTGTGTTCCATTCTATGCATCCGAAGAAGTGGGCTGTAGCCCACGAAAGCTTATGCTCAAATAAATGTGTTAGTCGCTAAGGTGCCACAAGTACTCCTGTTCTTTTTAGTGATCTTAAGCAATACCTGTAAGAGATTTGAGGAAAAACTTATTCTCCTGTTTGCAGTTTGTTTACTTTGTGCATTTGTGAGCCCTGCCTATACAGTCAATTTCACTGTTTTCCCCTGAAGGCAGTCAGTCATTTCCCCCATTTGTCAGTTTTTGCACAGAAACAAGGGAAATAATTTTTTTAAAATAAATAGTCAAGTGTAATTGTAAAACTCCATGAATCGGCAGGAGATTCAGGGTCAGGCGTAGGATCTGACACTACTTTTAATTCTTTTTTTTTTTTTTTTTTTTAAGTACTAGATAGGAAGTTGAATTCCCCTTTAATGCTGTAGGAGCCACCCAGTGTCCATTGAAGCCAATGGAAGGACTGCCATTGACTAAATGAGTGCTGGATCATTATCTCTCTGAGTAGCAGTCTGGGCTACTGAGAACACTTTGTAGCAGTCCAAGTCCCAGAGAGTGATGAGTGGCTCCTTGGTGCCAGCATTGCAATAGCTCCTATTGTTGGGTCAAAGAATTTTCCATTGAAAGGTTTAGAAACTACTCTAGCTGGTCTCTAAGCTTTTCTTTTTCAGCTAGCTTTATCTCAGCAGCTCAAATCCAACCCGAGAATCAGGAATTTGCTATTGCAAAATAAAAGCAATATTGGTTTTTTTATATGTGACTTTGTCAGTCATTTACTTTGGTAACAAGCAGACAAACTGTTCTCGGGTAGTAAGCATTCTGTTTGGTCCCAGCGTATTTGTTTGTAACTGGTCCAATTTATCTGATTCAGGTGCACTGTGGCCAGGTATGAAACCTGAAAGTGGTTTAATTCAGACTCCATCTCCAAGTCAGCACAATGTTCTTACCTGCACTACAGGGTTAACCACAAGCCAGTCCTGCCCAGCACATTATTCTTATCCTATTCAAGGTAACTTGGCATGGTTTTTATCTACATCTCTCTCCACCTATTCGTGTCCAGACACCACAAATAAAGAGGCCAGCATGTTTGCTCTTGGTTTGTGCATGCTTCTCTGTGCCTTGCAAGCCATATTTTTCTCTTCTTGTACGCTCCAGACCCTGTGTGTTGTATATGTGGTTTGTACTCTATATAGAGCTCTGCCTGCACCCAGCCGGCTTATGCCATGCTGATGAATCCTAACAGGGTGAAGAACAAAGGCGGGGTGGGAAAGAGGAGATTGAATGTTATTCACTTGCATGCCGCTCCTCAGAATGCTCTTGTAGCTCAAGCTGTTTCTTAGCAGTCCTGGGCATGAGTTGCACTAAGATTCATGTGTTGCTTCTTGAGGCAAAGGGTGTTCTTTTCTGTGTGCTAGCTAGGGTGGCAGAGATGGTCTGCACTGGGTACCAGTGTGTGTGCTTGCTTCATTATACAAGGTCAGCTAGAAAGTGAAGCTGTAGACACTGGAGCTGGATACAAATATCCACCCGCCCACCCCCTGCCAGGGACTCTCATTTTAATATTGGGAAGTAAAAGTGCTGCTTAGTTGAAAAAAAAATGTATGCAAAGTTACTTGTTTCAGGTTTGATTTTTGCCATTTTACTAGTGAAAATGTGTTTTCCGGTGAAAATTCATTCTTTGACAAATTTCTCGGATTTTTGAGAACCTCCTAGAAATGTCTTTTCAGAAAGGAATTTCAAGAAGTGCTAGTTTCTCATTTGTGTGGGCTTTAACATGACTTAAATTGTACAGCTGATGAAGTGCATCATTAAGGCTGATGCTTTCTCAGCTCACTGCATTGTGATCAGGAAAGGCCCAAGGATGCATTTATCCTGAACTCATTTCCCATCATAGGGTTAGAAGAGACCGCTGGAAACATCGATTTGTTGTGAGTTAAAATTCGAAAAGTGACTGTCTATCTAGAAATGGCACCTTTCAGTGAAGCTGCTCTGCGTGTAGCTTTGCTGACAGAAATAAATTTTCACTTCTTTGGAAATTGCCATACAAATAAGACGATACGTAAGAGGTTGCTGGATGCTGTCCTGCGTCCTGCACCATCACTAGAATTGCAATCTAAGTTCCAATTGCAGAATACAGGCTCACCAGGGGTGATGTGAGAGGTAGAAGAAATCCAACTTGACCCTCAGATCCTTGGAGTTTGAGGTTCTTCACTTACAAACTGTATCCATTTGATACGCAGTGAGAGTATAAATTTGGAGCCCCATGTTATCATTTGAATGGAACCGCCTTTCAGAGCATAATTATGCTTTCTGGAAAGTGTCAGTCTTCCCTTTGAATTGTCCAGCTCTCACTGTCACTATTATCGTCTCATCATATAGAGATAATGACATTTTCTAGAGAGAGTTTTGCAAGCTCTGATAAGAGCTATTCCTTACTTCTGTCATACCCCACATCACCACCATCAGAATGAGACAGAAAGACAAGACATGGGACGGCAATTCAGGAGAAGGAGAAGCGGGGATTAGTAGTGAGGAGAAGGAAGGAGGGATTATTTATTTGTATTGTAGTAGCACCTAGGAGCCTCAGTCAATGATTATGACCCCATTGTGGTAGACACGGTACATGTATAACAAAAAGATAGTCTCTGTTCCAAAGAACTTCTAATTGAAGTCTCAGATGAGAGAACAGGTGGATAGATGGGGGAGACAGATGGGGGAGAACCAAGAAACAATCATACAGCACTGCTCACCATGATGGGCAGTGATCACGACCTGCCTAACCATTGTAGGCATCAGGGGGTTTTCAGGAGGGATTGGAAGGAAGATACTGAGGTGCTTTGCTGATGGTTCCAGGCAGCTCCTCCCAAGTGTTAGAGGCAGCTGGGGGGACAGCCCAAAGGTGTGTTTGAAAGGTTAACCAGTAGGCACTGAAGGGCAATATCGTGGGCAGAGCAGCATCACCATCGCGTGACAGAGAATAGATGGGTGGGGGTAGGGCTTGAAGGGCCTTGGAAGTGAAGACAATAGTTTTGTGTTTGGTGCAGTGGAGAACGGGGACCCAGTGGAGGGATGCAGAGAGAGGGGTGATGTGCTTGAAGCCATGAGCTAGGAAAATGATCTCTGCAGCACCACTTTGAATGGATACAAATGGGGCAAGATGGGATTTGTCCAGGCTGGAAAAGAGGAGGGTACAGCAGTCAAGACACAAGGTGATGGGAATCTGGATGGGAGTTGTGGATGGAGAGGAAAGGATGTTACTCAGGAAAAATTGGCAGGGTTTAGGCACTGCCTGGTCATACGTCTCTAGAAAGAGGGCCGGGTTGAAGATAACCCGCAGGGATGGGCCTGAATGACATGAAGGATGGTAACTTCATCCATGGTGACTGGAGTTGTGGGAGGAGATTAAGAGGTGAGGCTGAAAGAGAGAGAAGGCACTTGATGAGGAGAGGGAGAATGTTCTGAATTTAGGGCAGCATGATAAAGAGGGCAAAGCCAGAGGGGGCAAAAGGAGATAGGCTGGCAAGAGGACAGGGAAGGGAGAGAGGAGTGAGTTGGGATGTAGCTAGGCAGGCTCTCCATCTAATTTTAAGCCGGACAGTCCTGCTTTTCTAAGGATTGTCCCCCGTCCGGTACTGAGTCCAAACTGGATGCGGTTTCACCAGGTATTGGATGGGGGATGCCATTTTGAAGAGCCCCCTGCCCTCTGGCATAACCTTGCTGCATGGGGGTGCAGCAGCACGCTTTTCAAAATGGTGTCCATCATGTGGCATGGTGCGTGCGAGATCACACAAGTGGGGGTCGGCCCACATCATTCCCAGAAGTACTGGAATGTCTGGTGTTCTGTGGATGTGTGAGTGGCCATGCTAGATGTAACCAGGGGCAAGCTTAGGTAGGGCTTGTTGATGATGACAGGAAGTCTGAATGAAAAGGCTGGTGTGGTCTGAGCAGGGGAGATGCAAATTTAGCAGCGACATTTGGCCAGGCGGGAGATGGTTAAAGGGAAAGATGAGAGAGGTCTTTGCCTTGGGGACAGTGAGGGGAGGGTGAATTTGGGGGATAGTAGGAAGAAAAACTTTAGGATTTAGCAAGGCACTGGATGCTGGGAGGAGGAGGGAGCACTGAGATATGAGCCTGGAAGAGAGGGAGGGAGAAGTTGTCAGTGTAGACAGAAAAGGAAAGGAGATGGAATGGTGGGGTTAGGAGGAAAGATCAGGTCAGTTTTTGGAGTGAATGTGGTAGATTTGGTAACCTCACCATAGAGGTGGTAGTTGAAAGTATCCAAGAAGATATTGAAAGTATTCAAGAAGACACTGGGAGAGGAGAAGAGGTGGATATTGAGAACAGAACGAAAGCTTATGCCCAAATAAATGTGTTAGTCTCTAAGGTGCCACAAGGACTCCTCGTTGTTTTTGCTGAAACAGACTAACACGGCTACCACTCTGAAACCTAGAACTATTTGGGACACCAAGAGAGAGCTGCTCCTCCCCTATTAAAGGACATGCTGCAGAATAAGATGCAGTCAGCAAGGTAAGAGGAGATGCCGGAGATCTCTGACACACAGAAGAGATGAGATTGGAAGCAGG